GCCATGCCGTTGCTGAATTCGTCCTTGTCTAAACGGTAGACCGGCTCTTCGTCCGACTCAGCCGGTGACGGGGAGGCACCGTCCTCGAGTATTTCCATTATACCCCTGAATGACTGGTTACGCTCCGCATCAAATCCTCTAGCTCTCGTTCTGGCGTTATGTAGCCGCCTGTCTACCGCGACGGTGATGTGTCTTCGGCTGACTTGCACAACGTATCCGTTTGTAAGAGCAAAGTGGCCCTTCTCATCAGAAACCACGATAGGTTCTCCAAGTGTGAGTTGGGATTCGGTAAACGAAAATGATGAATGGGGTTGCTTTTTGACGAAGGTATAGCGATAGCGATTGATCTTGGGCCCATCTTTATCCTCGTAGGAGGAACTAGGGTCGATGACGACATTGCCGAAGCATCGGCCCAAAGCCTCGCGCTCGCTACTAAGCATGGTCCAAAGCTCGCGTTTGAATCGGATCATGTTCTTTTCCTCTTTGGTCAACAAATCATCCCATTTACGAAAGAAGTCGCGATCATCAGAAGTCAGGTGGTCCATAGCGTTGACAAAGTCATCCCCAAGACCGCTAGTTTCACCGTCACCATCATCTGCAAGCTTATGGTAGATAAAACAAGGTGTCTTTGAGTAGCACTTGTTGCAAAATGAGGACTTTTTGGCCATCGGCGGCAGGTGCGTTCTCTGGCGCATATATCCGACTATGCGATTCCGCTGCTGGATCATCTGTAGGAGCTCATGCCGGATACCACGAATGCGGAATATTTTCGTTGTTTCGAGGTAATATAACAATCCAAACGTACACTCCACATCTACAGGAACGCATCAGTTTCTATCAATAAGGGAACTGAACACCGGTGGGGTTTTCTTACCGTAGCGATCAGAAAGCAGCAAAGTATACAGGGCTGTCTGTGCCCTGTGGGCCTGATTTGTATCCCTATTGCCTGTTTTGAGCTCAAGTGGTATGACCAGGTTTTTATCGCTTTCGCCGTCATGACAAGCGACTTGCACAGTGGCATCAACGTTTCCTTTGAGTCCGTACATTGGAGACCAAATATGCTCCTCGACTTCAAGAAGCTTATTGATACTCAAACTCATCTTGGAGCTGCCACGATCCTCAACCAATGATTCTGCCTTTAATTCAGTTAGTACCACTACCACGAAATGAGGCCGGGTCACGTACACTTGGCTTTACCCTGAGGAACCGCTCTGCCCAGGCTTGCACACCCGGTATTCGACTCATGATATATTCAACAGCCTCCGGAATAGTCATGCGGATCAAGTATAGATCCTCAATGCGCTTGACAGTAACACCTTCAATCAGAGTCCTTAGCGAGTTCGTATCCCATTTGTTGAGCTTGATTGCTTCTTGAAACACCTCATGAAAAATGTTCCCAAAGACTTGCGCTTTTCCTAGATCGGACGTGTATTTGATACGATCCTGCAAGACGGCGCGGCGCTGGCAACTAATTGAGTCTGCTACGACAGTTGCAGAGACCAGGTGGTCCGGATGGAGTATAACCATGTTCCTAGAATCATCCACGATGCAATGTCCTGTGGCATCGAAATCTCCGATTAAGTGAATGTATGACTCCTTGACACATGGGCACTCGCACCAGGACTCTCGAAGGATGACGACTTTCTTTTCCTTCGTCCGCTCATCTTGTACAGAAAGCACCTATTTCTTGCTGTCAGTGGCAATGCAAAGCTGTTATTTTCGATGGTGTCTGACCTGTTCTGGCTGAAAGCGCCCTTTGAGGGTTCTATACGCAGACTCGGCAATATCAACAATCAAGTAACGCTTGATGGCTTGTCGGCTTCTAACGTTCTATATATGGGGCTTAGTAAGTATGTAACACATGAACCCACTAAGAATGACAAACATCGTTTGATGCATCTGCTCCTGAATGCACCATGGATTGTTCGATGGCCTCTATATCCAAGCCATCATCGTCAAATTCATCACCAAAAGATGCATCCTGTTCTCCTTTCTTCTGAATGGACGCTTCGGACATCGCGCTAGGATAATACCCAGATTTTGCTCCAGGAATTGGTTGTCTAGAAGCTGCTGGCCCCGTAGAAACAGGCTTTGCCATATCCGTGCTCTGCGACTTCTCGCATTGAGCGAGAAGATCCTCCATACCGTCCGATAGACCATCAAAATCATCGTCAAATTCATCAGCATCAAGGGTATCAACATCATTAGTCGGTTTATCCACATTAGTTTTCATAGTCACTGCATCAGTCTCTCTCCATTCCTTAGTTGAGGCGCAGGCCTCTGTCGAAGCCTCATTTTTCGCAAGTCCATCACTCAGAGCTTTGTCTTTAAGGTGAGAGGAACCCGCGTCCACAAATGGATCCATTGAGGCTTCGGCGAGATCGAAGAAGTCCTGGTCAAATTCATCGTCCCCGTAATCCGATGAGGACTCTTCCAACGGTTTCCTGTCTTCAGGGGCAGCATGAATGATTCTGGGCTCTTGCACTTGGCTGGTTTTCTTCGAGGCTTGAGCTTGGCTCTTTCTATCCTCTGTCGGGGATTTTGACCTACTACGCCGGCCTTGGTTGCGTGCTGGTATAGGAGACGAGTCAGTTGTGTCCGGTAGCGGCACAGGTGCCTTTTTCAACGTCTTCTCGATTTCCTCCACGAGAGAACTGATCTTGGGGCCTTGATAGTTTCCCGAGTTGACAACATTGCTCCTTGTCCTTGAGAATATGCTTCGTCCCGTACCAAAGTTTTCCTTGTCGATCCTTCTTCGCTTGGCTTTTGAACTGGGCCATTCTGCCATACAGCTGTTTGATCGTCTGAGACCTGAAGAGTCTCGGTTGGTGCGCACTGACGCTGGCGTTTGCGGGGAAGAAGAGAGGAGATTTGTGAAGCGCGGTCGAAGTATCTCACCATTGCCGTTGGCAAGGGTCTTGCTCACATAGCTGTTCCACAGGTCGGCGGCGAGGTCATGCTGCGGAGTCTTCTGGAGTGTCTGAGAATTCTGCAAGTCAAGAGATCCTTTACGCCTGCTCTTCGAAGTCCCTGCCAGGGGAGAGCTAGTCGGGGATGAGCTGTGGCGGCGCTTTTTACCATGTGCAGGCGTCTGGGACATTCTATCAGGATTTGAGCTTGCGGGCACATGCTGCCAAACAACGTAATCTTCTGGGGTAAATTCCGGCATAGGAGCATGGATGAAAGCATCCTCTGCATTGTTGATAAGGTCCGCTAGAGGGATCCTATTTCCTGGAGTGTGAGGGCATTCTCTCGGTGCCTTTGGTTCTGCTACCTCCACCGTTTGATTTTGATTATTCTCATTCGATTTCCCGGGCTCCATCACTCCATTCAACCAAGACGTCTGGTTCTCCTTGTTCGCATGGCCAGGTGCTAAGCTAGTCTTCTGAGGAGGCTTGTCAGGAGTTGGTCCATTTTGTTGGTTGTACCGAAAAGCATTCAATTTCGACCGTGATCGCGAAGATACCCTGTACGAGCCGTTGCCTGTGTTCATCGTGTTTATAGTTGGCGTTCTGCGGGAGCTGGGGGGCAATGGGGCATCTCGAGAAGAAAGGCCTAGGCGGTTAGCAAGAGTATGTCAAGTGGATCCTCGATCATTTGAATGATCCCGCGAACAATAGGTACCTTTATTTTATCGACTGACATCAGAATTCCATGACAGGCGAGTCATAAGTGACAGGTTCAAGACAGAGTGCTAATGCAGATCAGAGTTGGTTCGATGCACGCAATAGTAGCAATGCCGATGCGCGATATGCGATAAGCCAATCTAATTGGTCTCGAACGCGTCGCGCGTCGAGTGCTCCTGCCTCAGGCATACACTGATTAATGCCTGTGACATCAGGCCGAAAGGCGGCAGGGAAATTTGCCTGTTCGGGCCTAGCGGCAGAATCCCAGCAGTCATCGGCCTTTTGCGGCTTCTGAACATCAACCGCTTGACCGTCACATCACCCCTCCACCTGCCGCTCCTGCCGCTCCAACGAAAGCAGTGATATTTGGAATCACTCAATTGGGTCGACTATTGTCGTCGCTGGTCGAACGGATTCCTAATTTCGGCATACCAATCCAGCGGTCGTTGCCTCGCCATACCCGACAGGGATCCTCACCCGCCACCGCCTGTCCCTTATCATCCACGTTGAAAACTAGGGGTTTTTGATTTACAACAGACCCTCCGCACATTCACAATGTCCGCTCGTCCGTTGTCGCATTGCCTTCGCGCTCGCTGTGTCCCCCGCCGGGCCCAGAACATCCAGGGCTTCTCGACCCGCAGCAACCTCCGCGGTGACCACTATGACCCTCCTACCGGCTACCTGTTTGGCCTCAAGCCCGGCCAGAAGTATGTGAAGGAGGGCTGGGAGAACATGTGGTACTATGGATTCATCGGCAGTCTTCTCGTTGCCGGTGTCGCATACGTCTTCAAGCCAGACACTTCGTATGTTCAATCCCTCTCCCTCGTGTGACAGCTGAAGTGGATTGTCTTAAGATCATTCTGCGCGTCACGACAATGCCTTTCACTGTATTAGCAGAGTCGAGGATTAGATGCTGACATGACCACAGGATACAAACATGGGCTCTGGAAGAGGCTCGCCGGCGGCTGGAGGCCGAAGGCATTCTGGAGGACCCTGACAAGGTCCAGCGCAAGTAAGGTGCTTTGGTCCGGAAATATCTTGTACTTTGTACATAGAGCGGTCGGGCGTGGAAAACAATCTTCGTTCGAGTGGTGTCAATAGGCACATTACGTCCGACCCTAGACAGGGCTTTTCTATTTCATTTTACTGTTCGCCTCCAATTTCCTGCGTGTATCTGTCATTCTATATCCTGAATCTTTTCGTTGACATGCTTGCAATGTTTCAAAAACGGGAGAAATAGATGTCTGTACCTTATACATGGGTTGTATGATGTGTATCTCGGTTTTCGGCTACGTTCACACTGGATAGCAACCTATCATTGGGGCAACCTATCATTGGGTGTTATACAACAAGGAAACGGTAATGATAGTATGTATGGTGTAATAGTTACAGATATCGTATGTACTGAGTCAAATGCCATGATCATCTATACTTCTGGGTATATATCCGTTCTTCTGAGTAGCGGCATCTCTCTCCTGACTTTAGCAAGGAGATCTAGATCAATGTCCGCAACCGCGATCTGCGGCTCCTGGTATTCATCGTCAAGCTTGGCAACAACTTCGCCCCATGGGTTGACGATCATGGAATGTCCGTAGCTTCTCCTCTTTTCATTGTGAGGCCCAGCCTGAGCTGCGGCAATCACGTAGGACTGTGTTTCTATAGCTCTGGCGCGTAAAAGGGTCTCCCAATGCGCTGTCCCGGTAGGAACCGTGAAAGCTGATGGATATGTGATGATTTGGGCGTTCTGTCTTTTGAGAGCCAGACTAATCTCAGGAAAGCGCAGCTGTGCAAGGTTAAACGTGAGCAAGACGCCTTGCAATATAAGTTGGCTGCTTCCGGCTTACATCAAAACAAATAGACAAGCCTACTCGCCCAACGGGCGTCTCGAAAGGCGGTAGTATCTCCATCCCCTTCTCAACGCTCCTTCATTTGACATTAGCCAAGTTCGATCAAACCACATCCACTTAAGTAAAACTCACGCGCTTTCCTTCAATACTGGTCCACCCTTGATGTCCACATCGAATAGATGGACCTTCTGGTAGCGTTGTGTGATGTCGCCCTTTTCATTGATCCAAACGAGGGTGTTCTTAATCCTACCATTCGACGCCGGTTCGTGTATCCCTACATTGATGTGCAGATTGGCCAATTGTGCCTCTTTTTGGAGACCCAGTACAAACTCGCTGTCTTGTACAGAGCGTGCCAGTGAGATAGTCTCTGCGGGCGATGATGCGATATAGTCCGCAGCCTCGGGAAGAAACAATGCCTGGTACTTTGTTAAATCGATGCTAATACTGATGATAATCAAGCGTGAATGACCTGTGGGCGAACAAATACTATAGGAACTTACCTTAGCTCCAGCTGCGGCTGCCTTGCGTACCAGCGTCTTGCATTGTGTCAAGTTGGCCGCTAGACTTCCAGTCGAACATAGTTGCCCCACGGCCTGTGATGAGGGAAATATATCATGTCAGTGAGAACTCCGCAAACACAATGAAAAGCCATTTAGTGAGGCATTAAGTGCTTACTGCGAGAACCATATTTATAAAGTACTAGCCGCTTGGATTCTGTAAATTAAGAGTAGAAAGTCTACGGAGGACCCAGAGGTTGATGGCGGAACATAGCATGCTTATCAAGAGAGAGCCCATGGCGATGCCCGTCGGCACTCGGCAGACTTTCCCAATCCGGTCCAACGTCTGGATCCCGCTTCAGCAAGCGGATCCAGATCTGAGCAAACGTCACGGAGTGCATCAACGGCCTGAAAAAACGATTTGGGTCGCAGATTACAACGACCTGCCAGGAGCGTGGTCACTATACAGTCAATATGAAAAGTTTACGGCGTGACTTCTCGTCGAATCCGCAGGCAGCAAATGTCACCAGCAAAGTCTTCGTGAGATCCACGAAAAGCGGAAAAGTTCAAAAGATCGTTCGCGAACTTTACCTCAGACAAGACATTCCTTGCTCGTCAAAGCTTTGCTCGACATGCGCCTCTACTGCGCCGGCGGATGCTAATGGAAATAGTAAGACAAGCAGATTGAACTTTTGCTTAATTTGATGGCTAATGCGACACAGTCACGCCTTTCGTGCTCTCGGAGCAGCCCGCGGGCACCAGCGCTTTCCCCCGCGGCCACTACCTTGTCCCCGATACGAATGCCTTGCTGAATGGCATGGATCTTTTCGAACATACCGGAGCTTTCTACGATGTTATTATCCTTCAAACCGTCCTCGAAGAATTGAAGAACCAGTCCCTACCCCTCTACAACCGCCTGCTCTCGTTGATCAAGACCGACGAAAAGCGGTTCTACCTCTTCTTCAACGAGTTCCGACTGGAGACCCACGTCCGCAGAGGGCCCGATGAGTCGATAAATGACAGAAATGACCGAGCTGTGCGAACAGTGGCCAAGTGGTATGCGGAACATCTCAAGGCCACGGTGAAGAAGGGGAAGAAGAACGACATCCCGGCTATCGTTGTCATCACGGACGACAAGGAAAACTTGCGCAAAGCAAAGGAGGAAGATGTTACCGCATTGTCACTGTCAGACTATGTGTCTGGCCTGGAGGACTCGGATAGGCTACTTGATATGATCAACGAGTCTCGTGAGGCAAGGGAAGCGAAGGGCGCACGCGGCGAACTTTTCTACCCCGAATACTACTCGATGTCTAAGCTCATGACAGGCATTAGAGCTGGAACTTTGCACCAGGGAGTCTTCAATGTTTCGCCTTACAACTATCTGGAGGGCTCTGTCAATGTTCCGGCGTTCGACAAGCCTTTGCTCATTTTGGGTCGTGATAACAGTAACAGAGCCATCTCTGGGGATGTTGTTGTTATTGAAGTACTTCCCAAGGACCAATGGAAGTCGCCATCTACCAAGATCGTCGATGAAGAGGCGGTCACAAAGAACGATAACCCTGATACCGATGATACCGAGGCAGTGGTGTCGGAGAGGGAACGGAAGGCCTTGCAAGAAGAGGTCAGGAAAGCTCATGGGAAAAGCTCGGAGGGAAAGCCGCAACCGACAGCCAAGGTGGTTGGAGTCATGAAACGCAACTGGCGTCAATATGTCGGACATGTCGATGCCGGTTCAGCAGGTGCTCAGGCTAGCAGCGGTCGCCGTCAGCAGACCGTCTTCGTCCTCCCTATGGACAAGCGTGTACCAAAGATCCGAGTCCGTACTAGACAAGCTGGTGATCTTATGGGTCAACGTATTCTTGTCACCATCGACGCCTGGGATCGCGATTCCCGATACCCCACCGGCCATTTCATTCGCTCACTAGGAGAACTGGAGACTAAGGGTGCGGAGACAGAGGCTCTGCTCCTTGAGTATGACGTTCAGTACAAGCCATTCCCGAAGGCTGTTCTCGACTGTCTTCCCGCCGAGGGTCATGACTGGAGGGTACCGGCTAGCAAGGATAATATTGGCTGGAAGGGACGGAGGGATCTGAGAGATCTCCTCATCTGCAGTATCGACCCCCCAGGCTGTCAAGATATTGATGACGCGCTTCATGCACGGCCACTACCGAACGGCAACTTCGAGGTCGGTGTCCACATTGCAGATGTGTCTCACTTCGTCAAGCCGAACAATGCAATGGACCTGGAGGCCAGTCTCCGTGGAACAACAGTCTACCTAGTCGACAAGCGTATCGATATGCTGCCCCATCTTCTCGGTACAGACCTTTGTTCCCTCAAGCCCTACGTCGAGCGGTACGCTTTCTCCGTCTTGTGGGAGATGACGCCCAACGCAGAAGTGGTATCTGCAGACTTCACCAAGTCGGTCATTCGCTCTCGTGAAGCCTTCAGTTACGAAAAAGCCCAGAAGCGCATTGATGACCCTACGCAGAAAGACGAACTTACCGAAAGCATGCGCACTCTGCTCCGCTTCTCCAAGATCCTCCGACAGAAGCGCATGGATGCGGGTGCTCTGAACCTCGCCTCGCCAGAAGTCCGCATCGAAACCGACAACGACGAGGTGGGCGATCCTCTCACGGACGTTAAGACGAAGGCAATGCTCGAGACCAACAGTCTCGTTGAGGAATTCATGCTTCACGCCAACATTACAGTTGCTTCCAAGATCTACAGCACCTTCTCCCAGACCGCCATGCTCCGACGCCACGCCACCCCTCCCCCGCAAAACTTCGAAGAGCTTATTAACCAACTCACCAAGAAGCGCGACATGAGACTGGACGTGTCCAGCTCCCGTGCCCTCGCCGACTCCCTTGACCGTTGTGTTGACGAAAAGAACCCCTTTTTCAACACCCTTGTCCGCATCCTCGCCACCCGCTGCATGACATCCGCAGAGTACTTCTGCGCAGGCGCCCACGCAGAGTCCGAATTCCGTCACTACGGTCTAGCCTCACCCATCTACACACACTTCACCTCCCCCATCAGACGTTACGCAGATCTTCTAGTCCACCGCCAACTCGCGTCAGCAATTGGCTACGAGGGCGAAGATGGCCGCGCCGTCGTAGAGGGGGTGATGACCCGGAACAGACTCGAAGACATCTGCCGGAACATCAACTACCGTCATCGCAATGCCCAGTTCGCCGGCCGCGCCAGCATCGAATACTACGTTGGACAGGCGCTGAAGGCACGCGGAGAGAAGATGGCAGCCGATGGCGTGGACGGCGGCATTGAAGAGGAGGGCTACGTCATGCGTGTCTTCGAGAACGGCGTTGTTGTATTCGTTCCGCGGTTCGGTATCGAGGGCGTGGTTCGCTTGGAAGATTTCGTCCTTCCGGATGACGCTGCTCTCCGCACCGTCGACGAGCGACGGGAGCTGGTGACGCGCCGACAGAGCGACTTCGACAATGAAGAGTACACTCTTCGCGTTTCCAACAAAGGAAACTCCGATTCGGGGCCCAGCATGTCTGTGGAACTGTTCCAGAAGGTCAATGTCAACGTTAGCTCCGTCAAGGAAGAAGGTGGTCGCGGCGCAGGAAAGAGGCGGGTTAGAATCCTGATTCTGGGAAGCGATGCCTAGACTGGAGAGAAAAGTTACTAAAATAATGACATGACTACAATCTTTCTGGTTTGCAAAATCTACCATGACTAGAAGGCGTCTATCGGTGCTTTATGTAGGACCATTGTATGTATGTATGTATGTATGTATGTATGTATGTATGCCTTTTATGTACTTCTATGCTCGTCTAGAATGGTAATCTAGACATCCTATGCTATCTAGTCTAGTCTCTTGTAGTGTCTTCTTCCTTCTCGTCTAGACTGATCATACTCTCCTCAAGGCCACCATCTGACGCAGCAAATGAAATGGCGCCCAGAGTTGAGTCTCCTTCACTCCTGATGCGGGTGTCCCAGGTGAAGGATCATATTCTTCTCCCTTCTGTGCAGGTTCCTCCTCATCTTTCTTCTCTATACTAGCCGGAACCATCACACCAGGAGCCGCCCCCTCCTTCTTCTCAGACCGCACAAGCTCCCCTATCTTCCATCCTCGCACGAGCCACAAACACGCCGCACCACCAATGTACATGAACCCCGTGAAAATCTGCACTCTCAGATACACCGAGTCCGTAGATCCATTATCCCTCAGCACAAGCGCAATAGCCTCCGACACAGTCGTAGGCGGTACCAGAACCAGCCACGTAATGCTCAACCCACTAGGGAGGTCTCGCAGACCGATAATTTCCGCCAGCACAGGGGTAACGGTCGCCCAGTAGGTCCCTGCAACAGTACCGACGAGGACAGCGAAAAAGCAGACCACGCCCATACTGCGAGCGAAGATCCAAATCACCAGACAGAACAAACCACAGAGGAAGGTTAGGAACGTGGCGATGTTAATCCGACCTAGCTTATCACTGAACATGCCCACGATGGGTCGTCCGAGTCCTTGGCCGAGGTTAAGTAGGGCGCTGACGATACTGCCCTGGTGGGAGGAGAGACCGACGGAGAGGGCGAAGTTGGCGAGGCTGAAAAGCACGGCGACGTAGCCTAGCATGCTGAAGATGCCCCATCCTAGGAAGAGGAGGAATTCGGGACGCTTGAGTAGGGGTAGGGAGAAGGCGTGGTGGCGGCTTCCGATGTCTTTGTTTCGGTCTCTGAGGAGGTTGGCGCATACTAGGTTGACGACGCAGGCGATGATTCCTAGGATTCGGAATGCCCAGCTTAGGCCGAGTCGGGGGATCATGGCGCCAACGGCTAGGGAGTAGATTAGTCCCCCTATGCCGGAGCCGGCTGCATTGATGCCCATTGCTAGACTGCGACGGCGGTGGAACCATTGAGGGGTTATGCCTACGCTTCCGACGAAGAGGAAGCCCATCCCCCAGCCGAAGCAGACGCCTTGGCTAAGGAAGATGTGCCATAGTTCGGTAGCGAAGGATGAACCGATTAGGGAGAGGGTTTCGAAGAAGACTCCGAGGTTTAGAACTAGGCGGGTTCCGCAGATGTGGATGAGGTGTGTGGCTAGAGGAGCTACTAGGAGGGCACAGGAGATGCTCAAACCGCCGGTGAAGGCGTAGGCCAGGGCAGAACCGTTGGCAAAGACATTGTGCGAGAGGTAGTAGGAGAGAAAGACACCGTAGCTCTAGAATCTCGGGACAAGTGCGTGTGTGTGTTAGTCTCTGTATCGGAGCAAATGATCTGGA